TGGTTAAAATCCAAGGTCTCTGAGAAAGTTCCAGGATCAGACTAAACCTGGTAACAGCTTCCTGCTTAGCTGTACATTGTTGACTTGCTTTTGGCGTGTTAATAGACGTTTGAATTGGGAGAAATGCCATCGTGAGTTGTACTAATAATTGAACTTAACAGTATCCCACAAAGAAGGATTTGTTCTCGGATCATGTGTGACGATTATAATTCCAACTGGATTAAACAGACCACTGATCGGCCTCAATCTGAGATGTTCTGTAGAACACACTGGAGGTACGGTGATGAAATTATGTACTGGGGCAGAGAAATGTCCATCTGCATTTTCTTGGAACATCCACTTTAATGTACACATTGTACCTGGAATGATAGAAAGCAAGACAGATATTCAAGGTCTGCATGGGTTTGGGCCTGCAGGTTCTTTGTCTCATCACCTTCCCTCCCCGTCTCTGCTGAGTTAGTCATGAGACACTAAGAGAGTAGCAGTTCACCAACTCGGCCTCAGTTCAGGAGGTCTGCCAGCCCTTTGACCTCAGGATTCTGCATCCAGAAGCTGCCAAGACCCTGTTGCAGGGACCGCTTAAACTGACAACCGTTAGCACCGTTACCTCCTTTCTGAGCCCCCACCCTCCAACAACACCTGTTCTCACCTGCCCTGCTTGCTCTCCTGGGCCAATCTCCCAGGGTCCAGTCTGTCTGAGGACCTTCGTTTCTGCTGGCCTGCTTGTCCCCCTTTCAGAAGTCTCGATTGCATCCTCCAATCATGTTGTCTTTGCAGATCTCTTTCGCTTTTCAGAGTATTTTCATGTATGCATGTTCATGGGGGACTCCCCATTTCCCTGTGAGCAGGCGAGGCAGGTGGTTGTCCCATAATGTAGACTAGGAGCATTGTAGCTAGAGAGGTTGACATCTTGCCCAACATGTAGAGGCAATTGTTGGCACCCATTTCCATTCACTGTTCATTGTAATACTTTTTTTTTCTTAAAAAATCTTAAGAAAGGAATAATCTAGGGATAGAGAATGAGGAACAGTAGAGCAAATTAACGTGTGTGTGTGTGTGTATATATATATATAATCTCCCCACTCCATGTTTATTCTGGGATGGGAACATAGAAGCTTTGTCCTAACTTTGTGACCATTTACCAGGCCCACCATAATACATAAGAATAGTTTATGAAGTAGGCCATGATACACTGGAAACTCTCACCTCAAAATGGCTCTAGAAGAAACTCCATCCTTGAAAAATTCCACTGAGGAATTCCATAGGAGGCATCTGAATCAATAGTTGTTGGGTATCTACATCCTTGAGGGTCATGAAGAATCTTTGTTATTACACGTGACCCTTCTGGTCTTTAAAGTACATTTAAGTAAAATGTTGTTTCTTTCTTGGGTCATCTGGATTTTTGAAATCTATTGTTTGAAACATTTCCCTTGGAGTTTGTTAGCTGTTAAAAAAAAATTGTGTTTTAGATATCTGCGTAATGCTATTGTTTAATGAAATGCAGTCTAAACAATATGATTGATGGGAATTTCTTTTTCTATTTCCCTACCTTTACTTACAGGCTAGACACCAGTTTTTTCTCCACAGTTGGTAGCCAGTTACCTGCTTGGTTTGTGTGACATGCACAGGGCCTCTTTCAAGTGTTTTCAGTTCTTTTGTGCTTTATTAGTCAGAGGCATGGATGAGGAGAGGGAGGGTTTGAGACTAAGTTTTTCAGCGCAAGCAAATGGAAGACACACAGTGAACCTGGGATACTTGAAAATTCAGGGAGACACAATAACTGGGACTAAATGTTTTCCAAATGCGTGCCGTGATGGCGCGTCAAGTGCCTGTGCATGAAGATTGCTGAACACCGTGCACTTGCAGATCTCTATCTTGAACAAGTGTTTCTTAGAATAAAAACCAGAGGATATGTATTTAAACCCTGTAGTCAGTGTTTAAGCTCCAATTTCTCTCCTAAAATCATAGGTCACACAGTGTTATTTGCAGCCAAGAGTGTGCTTGTGGGAAGCTTCAGAATTCATTAGGTGGATGAATCACGATCTGCAGTGTACCTAAGAACATTGCACCAGCAAATGAAACCTCCATTATAAGCTCTTGGGGAGGTTTATATGTCAACTTTACAAATTTGAGTATAAGTTTAAATGATTTTATTTTATATATCTATATTTGGTTTATAAAGACTTCCATGGTGTCTCTGGTTCCTATCTGACACTCAGCTATTTTATAGACCAAAATAGTTCTAAGGAGAAGCTTGCCTAGGGGTGTGTGGGGAGTTCTGATGGAACCTCTGTTCTATCCCTGCAGCTCCATCCTAAGTGGTTCAACTGGCTCCCTGCAGGGAGTAGAGAAAGGCTAGCTCAGACGGCCAAGGGATTAACAGTTCCCCACAATGTTTTTCATAGAAAGTCCAAGTCCAAGTGAAGACAGTGAAAAAAAAAAAAAAGACCTAATATTCTGCAGTTTGTAAATTTAGAAGGGGCTGGATAGGTAAAATTTCAGGGGTGAGTATGTGTGTGTGTGGTGGTGGGGGAGTGTTTTAAACCCTGAGAGGTAATTGTAACAGGTGTTATTGTTCTCATTTTAAAGATTTAAGGGGTGTAGGTCTGGGTCAAAGGCAGAGTCACTTTCCTGTGGTCTCCTGGCAGAGGGGAGCTGGCTCCGAACCCCAGCTAGAAGGATCTGAACTTCATGGCACCGCTCACTCTGTTTTCCTCACCTGCCTTTCCCTGAGCCTGGAGACCCATTGTTTTGCAGTCTGTTTCCCTTCGTTTCTGTAAGTGCAGTTGGGATGAGGCAGGGCAGTGGAACTCACCAGGCTGATGGGAGGGAGAGGCCCTAGGAGCAGAGCTGGTGGGTGTATTTGGCCCCTGGGATCACTCCCTGTGGGAGCCCCTTTCCTGTCCCTCCGGGGTTTCCCTGCCCAATGCAGTTCTCCCTCCTGTTGCCTTGCTGGCTGATCCCACTGTTCCTGGAGCCGGAGAGCATGCCTGGCACAGTGACTCTTACAGCAAGCAATTGTTTACCCTTCTCTTGAAGAAGAAAGTGAAAGTGAAAAATCTAGTGTCTCTCTTGAGGTCAGTCACAAGGGAAAAGCAACTGAAGACTGCCCCTGCTCCCAGGTATCGCTTACTCTCTATACTAGAATCATAGATGTTTCCCCATGCCTTTAAACACCACTTGAAAATGTTTTTCATGATTCTGCCCCATCCCATTTTCCAAAATTCGTTTCAGTGTTCTGTGTTAGACAGTGAGGTTACTTTCTAGTTGTTGCTGTGATAGAAAAAATCAACTCCTTGGAGAAGGGAGCCGTTCACACCGGCAGGAAAACAAGTCTGCCTTAAAAGGTCGGCCATGGTGGCTGATTCTTCAGGACCCGTAGAGTCATTTCAGATGAATACATATTTTTTTAAAAATGATATGATTGTGATGTTAGTTTACTTTTCAAATGGAGAAAATGAGTGAAAAAGGTCAATGAAAGACATAGATGTCACCATCATGTCAGAAATATTCTGAGCATAGACTTTCATATAAGATTTACTGAATGGTGCATGGAAAAAAATTTTAACCTAGCAGGCTGACACAGAAATGTATAAATTTGAAAAACAGATCATTTTGTAAGAGTCATGACTTTGTTGACGAGCTCATGTATTTTTTGGGCAATGCACTCCTCAAACATTTAAGCTTGACTTTTTTTTTTTTTTTTTTTTTTACCTTGCAAATAGAGAAAGGCTCATCAATCTTGAGCAAATAGGTAGAAAGTGAGGAGCCAGTTTTCAGATTTCCTGATTTTATTTGCCGGAACTATATGGCCCCTCAGTATCTGCAGGGTTTGGTTCCAGGACTCTCTGTGGATATCAAAAGCCACAGATACTCAAGTCCCTTGTACAAAATGACACAGTATCTGCTTATAACATACACACATCCTAAGAATATATAATGTAAATATTGCATAAATAGTTGTTATACTGTATTGTTTAGGGAATAATGACAAGAGTAAGAGGTCTGTGTATATGTCCAATACAATCCCGACCATCAAAGTTCTAACTTGTTTAATACATGTCAGTGACTTTTTTTTTTTCCTGGATATTTTTGACCAAGTTTAGTTGAGTTGGAATGTGTGGAGCCCTTGGATAGAAGGGGCCTACTCTAGGGCCTCCAGTTTCTTGTGGGATGTGAGGCTGGCTTGGGAGGCAGAGAGGAGATGCTGGAGGTCTCCGTGACAGTGTTGGTTCTCCTACATTCCTGGTCAGTCTCGTGTCTTCACCAACAGCCCAAGGTCCAGCACAAGAAGCAATGAGGAGTAGCAGTCTGTGCTTGAGTTCTCCCTCTTTTCCTCTGGGGTTTCCTTTTTAAAATTCAGTTCCTTCTTCCTTCAGTTTGCCACTGTCTTTTTTCTACTCAGTCCCCCTCCGTCAATTCTCCACCAAGGCCTCTATCTGGGGAGGTTCTCATTTCCCCAAATTCTTTGCTGTCTCCATTCAACAGAAATCCCCCTGACTTTCTCAAAGTCGACACTCTCTTGTCTTGTTAAGCCTGTTCCTAGATGTGTCATGGCTTTAGTCTTACTCTGATTCTGCTCCAGTAGCCTGTGGCAGGGTCACAGAATTCCATTCAGCTTGGAAGGAGGGGGCCTCTAGATAAAAATGGAATTCGGAAGTCACACAAGTTAAAAAATAAAGTAAAATAAGAAGAAAGCCTTTGCCGTGTGTGCACAAGTGTTTCTTCTCCTCCCAGCTGATGGTGGATGGGATGTGGGAGCATACTTGAATAAGCAAGCCCTTGACTTGAATAAACTCGGGATGAAATCATGCATAATTAACTGCCTGTCTCTGCATTCTTTCCACAGTGATGGCTCTTAGTATTCACACTTGTGGTAACTTACGTTTCCTGAGTACGAGAATCCAGGACAGCCAATTAAGGAAGAGCCAGTGGTGGGTCTGTCATGCATTGCTACTGGAATGGGGCGTAACTGCTGTCTTTTTTCTTTTCAACTCCAGTGCCTGAAACAGTACATGCAGCTGGCAATCCGAGAAGGATGTGGGTCTCCCATCACTTGCCCTGACATGTTGTGCCTAAACCATGGGACCCTGCAGGAAGCTGAGGTATGGGGCGTCTGCCGCAACCTTCCCTTCTTTCCTGTTGACGTGATTTGTTAGGATCTTGACTCCACCCACCTCCCTACTAGGGAGGCTAGCCATGAAATGCAGAGGTTGATTTTTAAAGGAGGACTTTATTGCTGCATACTGTTGCATTCCTTATAGGAACTGTTAAAGCTGCCATGTAGCTCGGGTCTATTTATGTCTGCTGTCTTGTGTGTTGAAAAAGTTCTAAAATAGGTGAAGGCACTAGAGATCAGACTGACCAAACGTGAGGTGTGGAGGCTGAATCACGAGTGGTCTTGGGATCTCGAATACGTTAAGGACTCGTAGGCCATAGATTAGCCATAGTTAGGGAATATATAAACTATTTTGATTCTACAGTGGTAACTTGAGTTGAACTCTTTCCAAAGAGCAGAGAGAGGCCTTTTAATCTATCTGAATCAGGCATCAGAAATGTCTTTCTTTTACAATGAGTTACCTCGTTTTCCTAAGATGGTGATTTATCTCATTCTGTTGTTTGTTCAATTTCTGATCTCGGCCTGCCCTTAAATATGCCTTTTAATCTTTGGTCCCTGTTCACGTTAGATTGGAACATAAGGAACTCTTGCCCATTCTTAGGGAGTTTGTCAGCCTCTGAAAGGGGTTCAAGAAGCCGATGAACGTCCATTCAGTAAACAGACACCTGCTTTGCACCCAGCACTCTTCTGGTTGCTTTTGTGGTCAGTGTATATTTAATTGTCTCAACAGACCTCATGGAATTGGATATTGTTTCTTTCTTTCTTTTTTTTTTTTTTTTCAGAAACAGAAACTGAGGTCCAGGGGGCTTAAGTAATTTACCAAAAAATGCCTATCTAGAAAGTAGAAGAGCTAGAATTCCAATCCAGTTCTTTTTGATCACAGTGATGGCATGGCTTTAAGAGTAGAACTAGGTGTAGGCAATAAAGGACTTGATAATTAGAAGGCCAATAGTGTGTATGTATGTGTACAGATGTAAATGTGTTCATGTGAAGGATGTCTGTATGTATATATACATGTTTTATGAATGTGTATGCTTTTACTTATAGATCGGCTTTGTTTTGTAAGCAAAGTAGTCACAAGGATGGTATAGACAATTTCTAACCTAACACAGGGATTATTCTGTGTTTAGCTTCTGAACTGTATCAGCTGAGTGGTACAAGTGAGTTAAAATTATTTTTCAGGGAAGCATAAAAAGAATCCATAATGATTTAGAAGTGATTCATTTTAAGAAAATAATGAAATAATAAAGTTTTGATGAAAAGTTAATTCTGAACATGTAAATCCTTCCATGAGGACTAGTGTTTACTTTTGTGAGGGTAATGAATAGGAGGAAATTAATGTGAGGGAAATTTAGGCTAACTACCAAGAACACTGTTGATCTTTGTAATTTAGAATTGCCCTTAAAACGAGACTCAAGTATTTGGGAGCTCCTGTCCATGCATAATCCGAGCAGGACAGAACTTCCTTTCTGCTTTGCTTCTCTGGGGTCTGACAGAGGTCACAAGTGTTAATGGAGAGTGTGCCGTGTGTGGGCCGGATGCCAAGCTGGGATGGAGCGAGGACGGGCAGGCCTGGCACTGTCCTGGTGGAGCTTCTGATTAGCATAGAGATGCTAAACAGATAACGTCAGATAGTTAAAGTGAAACACGAGAGAGGGGGCACACAGCAAGAGCTGGATCTGGTATCACACTTACCTAATTCCTGTGCGTAAGATCTATTAAAGGTAAATGAGTAGTTTGGTGAAGTTTCAAAACAAGCCTATGAGATCAATCATAGGCCTGTGCTGTCAAAACCAGTAGTCCCTAGCCACCTGTGGCTATTTAACTTTAGTTAAAATTAAACAAAGTTAAAAACTCAGTTTTGCAACTGGGCTAGTCCATAACTGGTTAAGTGCTCAGTAGCCTCTGTGGCTCATGGCTGCTTCGTGGGACAGCATAGCATTGAATAGAATTGAACACTTTTGTCACTGCCGAGGGTGCTTAGTTGCATAGTGATGTCCTAGACTCTCCTCAGATAGTAAGCACTGACCTTTGACACTTTCAATATTGGGAGTTAGGGCTAATGTGTCCAGATGAGTGGGTGAAGGCAAGCTGTGCTTTCCACAGTTCTCTAGAACAGAGTCAACTCTTCTGATTTTCTTTGCATAGACATTTTCTCTTTAAATCCCCTTCCCCTTTGTTCTCTGTGTCCTTTTCCCACTGTGTACATTCTCACTCACACTTTCCTGCTTATACTTCTGTTTATTCAGTTTTACTGTAAAAGCAATTTTGCTTTTAGGCTGCATTAAAATCAAACAAACCCATAATGACTCTTAAAAATTATTTGAAAAACAAAAGAACAAAATTACATTCCAAAATAAACTAATTTTAAATTCTTCAAAGTGTTTTTCTCATTAGATGAGTAATAAGACACTCCAGGGCATCAGCAAGCCATTTCTATTCTCACTGGTCCTGCTAAGAGCCTGGTCAGAAATGAGCATCCCTGTACAATCGTCTAATGTTCTTTACCAATTTGCTACTTTTTTTTTTTCTTTTGCCCAGAGTGATAAATTGGAGTGGTGGTGATGGGGATTGTTTTCACTGTGAATTGAGAATTGAACAGAGAATAATAGTGGAGATCTGAGTAGCTTTATTAGCTTACATGGACTCCTTTGAAAGTAAATACCACACACATAAAAGTACCCCACACAGGGCTGGGGATGTGGCTCAAGCGGTTAGCGCGCTCGCCTGGCATGCATGGGGCACTGGGTTCGATCCTCAGCACCACATAAAAATAAAATAAAGATGTTGTGTCCACCGAAAAACTGAAAAATAAATATTAAAAAATTCTCTCTCTTCTCTCTCTCTCTTTAAAAAAAAAAAAGGTACCCCACACAGGTGAGCTGGGTGGTGCTACCTTCTTTCTAATTTGCTTGACTTCAAGACTCATGAGTCATTATGATAAAGCATACCTCTAACCTATGCATTTTTGAGTATATCACAATGGGGCTCATTCATATGATGGTTGACTGAGTTTCGTCTCCATGACTACTACGTCCCTCCACTTAAAAAAAAAAAACACGTTTATTTTATACAGGCAACACATAGACTTTGCTGGTTAAAAATATTTCTGGTTAAAGCGGGTTCCCTTTGTCTTGTCTGCCATTTATATTATGGTACAAGATTCCTCATTATTTATTGTCTTATAAAAGGTGCTTAAGTGTGACATCTCTCCACCTTGAAAGGACACTAGGAATTGAAGCTCTTTGCTCTGCACGCTTTCCTACCCAGATCTAGTTACCCTCCTTGGCTTTAATCCCTGTGCCTGCCTCCAAATTGGCTCTGGGTCTTCGTATTTGTCTCTCAGGAGTAAGCCTACTAGTGGAGCATTTCCTGCATGAACAGTTCACACCCTGTTCATGCAGGAAACAGTGGAAAATGGCAGCTTCCTCGCCATGCCTTCCCTCTCCATGTCCTGCAAGCTGCTGAGAGATAGTGACTGAGGACGACTTGTGGCTAGAGGTGAACCCTCTGGGAGCCAGAGAAAAGTAAAACTTTCCTTCATTGCATCATCGGGTATTTTCAGCTGTTGCTCTGCAGGGCTTTTCCAATGTACTTCATCCAAGAACCTTGTCCAACATGGAATTATGAAGGCAGGACACAGATTGTCTGTTCTGATAGCAGTACTTCAAGCAGAGCTCTTGCTTGAAGTTAGCAGCCCTGTTAAAAAAAAAAAGGCAGCATCCGATTTGAGCGGTTTCCTTACTGTGTCATGCAAGTCGCACACCCTCTCTTGCTGGAGAGCCCGGGCGGTGCGAAGTCAGAGTGGCGAGTACCTAACCTGTCGGAATGGTGCCTACCATTCTGTGGCCTGAGAAATTGAACTCCTTCCAGCTGCCCGCTGGCCTGGAGGGCAGGAAGAGCTTCTCGCTCACCGATCCCCCTCCCAGTCCTGGGGCCCTGAGCAACCAGCCTGCCTTTTACTGCCCACGCCACCGCCTGCACCAGAGGAAGGGTGGAGACAGCTGCCCTTGCCAAGAACAGGCTTAGGATTTCTACAGAAAGGGATTTAGAGGGTGGCACTCTGGAGGCCTGAGGAGGAGGAGGAGGAGTGGAGAGCTAAGGAACTGGAAGCTACATTTGCAAAATAAGTCGTTTTTTTCTTAGAATGCACGTTTATTCAGGGTGACTGAAAAGGCCGCGAGGGTTACAGGATCCAAGTGTCCCCCCAAGATCCCCAGCTCGGCCTGCTCTGGCCAGCCGCCTTTAGTTCTCCTTCCTCCCGTTATCAGGGTAGGAGGCTGGAGCAGGGGCTGGGGAGGAGCCAGGTGAGCGAGAATATTCCTGTTACTGTGGTTTGAGGATCTGAATCTAGGAAGGAATCGAGTGTGTCTAGAATAACCTTTATGGCATGCCGTGAGACGCGAAGGCTGAAGAAAAGTTCAGCTTTAGGGGGTGGCAGGAGACAAAGGAATCTGCCAAACTAGAGTTCAGGGACATTTGTTGAGGTTCCCAGCTAAATATCTTAAAGAGCATATGGAAGACTCCGTTTTGAGATGTATTTAAAACCGCATGTAAGTGGAGAATGAGGTTTCTAAGATTCTTTGAAAACTAAAGGCAAATACTCTATAGGAACACTTAGCAGTGACAGGTTGAGTGTGTCCTGTGGAGCTACAGTGTGTCCCGTAGGTGAGTGGAGGGGGAGAGCAGGAGGTGGTGGGGACCGGTGACGCTGGGTGACGTGATACTCTGTGCCGATCCCTGACCCTGGACTCCAGTTCTCTCCTGTCTCTCCCTCCGCAGTGGGCTTGGCACCCTCTTTCCAATCAGGGTCTCATTTCTAGTATTAGGTGAGTTTTATCCAGGTGAACGTGCCGTTTTTCTTCTATGTTAGGAGAACAGTTTTATTTCTGGGCTGATACAGGAGGTCCTCCTAGTTTCTGCCCTAGGGTGTTAGACGCTGGCCTCTAAGGCAAGTCCCGTTTCACCTGCCTTTATTTTCGTGGG